TTTTTTTTTTATCACAAAGCTAGTACATATGTTTATTGTTTCAGGGATCAGTGGTGTTCAATGATGTGTCAATAGACTTCTCTCAGGAGGAGTGGGAGTGCCTGGACCCTGCTCAGAGGGACTTGTACAGAGATGTGATGTTGGAAAACTATAGCAATCTGGTTTCGATGGGTAAGGGCATCTCTACCAATAATTCAGAGTTCTCCTCTGGAATGTCTGCTTCTACTACAGTGAATTTCTCAGCAGCTTTTCAAGTAATCAGCTGAATTTCTGCTTCTTATTCTCAAATAAATGTTTCAGCTGGAATGAAAAGGAAGCGTGGGAAATGGGCAGCTCCAAGGGCTATGGCTGAAGCTTCGTCTCTGTCTTCTTTGGCTGTTCCTGTAGTGGCACCTGTTCCTTGATCAGCAAGGGACTGGATCTCATTTCCCCACAGCATAACCGTGTGCCATATCTTTTCTCATGAGCAGGATTTTACATTCCTAAGCCTCAAGTGATCTCTTTACTGGAACAAGGAAAAGAGCCCTGGATGGTGGGCAGAGAGCTTACAAGAGGCCTGTGTTCAGGTAAGTGAGAAATGATTACAGGTACTAACTCAGCTAGTCAGTGAGGAAAGAGCACCTTCAAGATGTCACCCTGGAAGCTCCCTTCCAGAAGCTAGGCTTATGGAGGAAACTAAGTTATTTCAACATGAGTTTACAAGTGGCATGTTTCAGTCCTTCCCTTACTTCCTACTCTTTCAACATTCTTTTCAAATACTTAATTTCAAGCACCCAAGTACTAGTCTTCACTCTAGCTGCCTGTCAGTGCCTTCTTTTACCAGTTTGTCTTGGATTTTTCCTCCTCTTATCATCTTTTATTTCTTAATTTGTGTAAGGGAACTCTTTCAGTGCTGCAGTTTACTAATTATGTCCTAAGAATGCAAAGTTAGCTGCCTGTTATCCCAGCAGCTCTGAGAGCTGAGGCAGGAAGATTGAAAGTTCAAAGCCAGCCTCAGCAACTTAGCGAGACCCTAAGCAACTCAGCAAGACTCGTCT